GGTGGCGATGAGGATGATGATGGTGATGATGGCGATGCTGCTGCTGCTGCTGATGATGGTATTGATGATGCTGATGACGGTGATAGTGATGATGATGGTGATGATGATGATGGTGATGGTGATGATCATGATGATGATGTTGATAGTGATGCGGACGATGATGGTAATGATGCTGCTGATGATGATACTGATGATGATGATGATGGTGTTGGCGATGCTGATGGTGATAATGATGATATTGATGATGGTGATGCTGACAATGGTGATGGTGATGAGGATGATGATGGTGGTGATGTCGATGCTACTGATGATGATAATGCTGATGATGATGATGCTGATGATGATGATGATGATGATTATGATGATGATGATGATGATGATGATGATGATGATGATGATGATGATGATGATGATGATGATGATGGTGATGGTGGTCATGATGATGATGATGATGATGATGATGATGATGATGATGATGATGATGATGATGATGATGATGATGATGATGATGATGATGATGATGATGATGATGATGCGTTCTTCCAGTGCGCTCGGCTGCACGAGCCGGTGACAGATGAGGGTAAGTTCGGGCGGTATTCGCCTACACCGCTCAGTAGCCTCGCTTGGAAAGCGCATTCGGCGCCCAGCTGCTACGACACGGACATCAGGTGCCTGACATCCCCGGGCGATGCGTGTGCACCGGATCGCGCTGGTGTCTCCCGAGGCGTCGTCGATTCTCGATCCAGGAATGGTACGGTGCATATGTTTCCGGCCCCCGGAGCCGACACAGCTATGCTCCGTACCGCGTTGGAGCGCGGCCTGGACGGAGTCCAGTCATGGTGCTGTGCATGGGTGCCGTTCTCGTATGACAGGCAGTGATGTCGACGAGGCAGTTGGGGATTTCCGGGACGCTGCAGGCCCAGACGTCCAGCCATGCCTCGGCGCGGCTTGCGGAGAGCTCAAGAGCGAAGGCTCGCGGGGGACGTACCCGCCGGCCTCCGCAAGGATGTCTGCGCACATTTCCGCCAAGTCGTCGTGGCGGTGGGTCCAGACTGGCCCGCATGTGCACATGGCCGCGTGGTCGCCGTGCGCGCGCCAGCCGGTCGAGGCACAGCTCCTGCGTGGACGTCTTCTCGATGAGGTCCTGCGCGCCTGGCGGGCACGGCGTGCGAGTGCGGCAGGTTCGCGTCCTGTCGACCGGCGGCGACCCCGCCAGCGGCGTTCAACTTGGAACGCCGCGGGCGACCCAGAATCGTTCGACGTGAAGCGATTCGGACGTTTCGGAAGCAGTCCAGCGTTCAAGGTTGAACAATCCCCGCGGTGTCAGGAACCAACGCCCGGGCCAACACGACGCGAACCTGCCGTGCTCGTGCGCAAGCGCCCGGCCTCGACCCGCTCTCTGCCTGCGAGGGCGACGCCGGGGGCGGAGAGCTCGGCAGTGAGCGCCGCGCCCGCAGTTGGCCTCGCCGCGGCCACGGCTTGCCTTAAGTCGGGCATGTCTACAGGAGGAAAGTTCAAGAATAGGCAGAACATACTTTGGGGACTATTTTCGGACTATTTTGAAGCATTTATGAGTTTTTTTTTACCATGCTTTATTTCCCGTCCAAAAACCGCCTGTAGGAGGACATGCCCGACACAAGGCTTGCCGCGTCGCGCCTGCCCGAAAGCGCTCTTGAGGTCCAAGCCGATGAGCGCGTGCTGCGGGAATGCCCGCGCGGCTGCTCTGACCTCCGCATTTCTCTAGCTGCGCCCCAGCGTTGCCTCCAGCTCCGTATTGGCCCTCCCCGACCGCCTTCGCGACCTGCATGCCGGCCTCTAGCAAACGTCCCGAGGAGGAGGAGGAAGAGCTTATACGACTCCACATCTTCGCCGTCTTCCGCCGCCGCCGCCGTCGTCATCGGATATTGCTGCTGGTCACCAGACATTGTGCATGCAGCCGTACCTGGCTGCAGGTAGGTGAATGAAAGGGGCGCGCCCCGTCGTCTGTCGTCGCCGGCCGGCTCGACCCATCCCTTACAATGTCTACCTGTACGCCTCCGCTGAACAGATATTTCTATTATTCATAATTGTTTATACGGCCGGGGACCCCGGAAAAGGCCCACCACCCCGCCCACCCCTCCACCCCCCGAACGAATTTGGGATTTTTCGGCCTGGCCAGACGCCCTCCCTGGCACCGAGGGGCGGTCTAGCAATCCCTGCCAAGGCGTGCACACAGGCGGGTGGCAGTCCCCGCCAGACGCCCGAAGACTGTTCGAATGTCACCCCCACGATGCGTTCGACCTTCAAAATATACTGATGTTGCACTGTTTTTCGTTTGATCTTCGGATACTCGCTCACTCGGGCCTCCAAGCGTCCGAGAACGCTGGAGAACTATTGAAGTCCGCTCCGAGCCAGCGCAAGCGGGCCTCCAGACACCAACACGGTCACATGAGGGCCCAAGACGGCCTCCATACTGCCCACTGGGGGCCCCATGACTGGCCCAAAATCATTGCAAAACAAGTGGCACAAGGCCCAATAGACTCCCAAAACGATCGAAGATGGCATCCAGCGGCCCAGACCACCGCTGGACGCCCGAACACGGCCCGAATGTCACCTGCAAGAGGCGCTCGAAACTTGAAAATTCATTGATTTTTCATTGTTTTTGTTCGTATGATCTTCTGATACTCGCTCACTCGGGCCTCCAAGCGTCCGAGAACGCTGGAAAGGTACCGGAAAGCGCTCCAAGACGAGCCAAACGCGCTTCCTGTCACCCCAACACGGTCACATAAGGGCCCAAGACGGCCCCAAAATTGCCCACAGGCGGCCCCATGATTGGCCCAAAATGATTGCAAACAACCGGCACAAGGCCCAAGAGATTCCCAAAACGATCGAAGATGGCATCAAGCGGCCCAGACCCCCGCTGGACGCCCGAACACGGCCCGAATGTGATTTGGCAGAGGCGCTCGAAACTTGGAAAAACGTTATTTTGTCAATGGTGTTTCAAATGTTCGGATACTCGCTCATTCAGGCTTCCAAGCGTCCGAGATCGTTGGTCCGAGATCGTTGGAAAAACACAGACAATCGCTCCAAAACAAGCCAGACGAGCTGCCTGGCAGCCCAAGGGGGCCCCATCAGGGTCCAAGACGGCCCCCAAACTGCCCACGGGCGGCCTCACCACGGCCCAATTTGTCTTCAAGACACCTTCCCCAAGAATGCAACACGTGATCTGGAACCACGACTCCCGGTATGGTGGCTCGAGGACCTCCACTAGTCGCCGAAAGGCGCCACGGCCGCCTCCAGAGGCTCTCAAGGAGCCCTAACAATGCTTCTGCGAAGCTCTCCAGAGATTTGCCACGAAGGAGCTTCCGCGAACGAATCAGAAGAAGTCGAAGAGGCCTTTGTGTGCAAATTCACTCGAGCAAAAATGGACGAAGACAAAAGTAAGGAAAGGAACAAGAAGAACAATGTAGCCACGGTGATGGCGACATCGGCCACCAGAAACGATTTCTGTCTTTCTCGTCTTACCTTTGTCAGTCTGTCTGCACCGTCCACTTATCGGACCAAGGTGCATGGTTCGAAGCGCCAATACTTTCTTGCATATTAGAATAAGTTCAAATACCTATCTGTATATACATATATATACACATACATATATACTGAAACTTTGTCGGACGCGATGATGATCCAGCCTACTGAAGAGATAGACCCAATGACACTTGTAGAACAGGCCAGCATACCAATCACAATATCATAAACGTCCGCTTCTCTAGCAAATAACTGGAAGCGGGGGGGGGGGAGGAGGGGCTGGAAGAGGGGGAGGAGCACGAGGGCGACAGCAGGGGAGGGCGCAGCAGCAGTCCGGAGGCTGGACCGGCGACCCCTGGCGCCTCCGTCGAGCCCACTCGAGACGTCACCGCCGAGCCGCGGCCGCCGATTCCGAGCCGTCGCCACCGCCTTCGAGCCACCGAGCCGTCGCCGCCACCGTCGAGCCGCCGCCGCCGCCGTCGCCGCGAGGCCGAGCCGGCCTCCCCCGCGCCGCCGCCCCAGTGCCTCCGCCGATGGGCGCGGGTCGGCGGCCCACGGGCATCCCGCTGCAGCTGGCCGATCGCCCTCTGGCTCGTAGCCTTAAGTCGGGCCTGTCCCTCTACAGGGGGAATATCTAAAATTTGTCAAAAAATAGTTGAGGGGGGCGATGATTTAAACCAATTTCGAATATTTCTGAATCCTGTTTGGCTATTTTCATGTGTCGTCCAAAATCCCCCCTGTAGGGGGACATGCCCGACCTAACGCAAGCAAGCCTACCTCCAGGGCGGGAGCTCTGGGGCCGCGGAGGGAGAGGAAAAGCAGGTCCGAGGGTGTCGGGGAGGTGCGAGGAGGTGCGAGGAGGTGCGAGGTCAGAGGTGGGAGCCGAGGAAGTCCTCGAATCGTTGTTGCTCCACGGGCATCCCACTGCCCCTGGCCGATGGCCCTCTGGTTCGCAGCCCGGTCCGCGGTCGGCCCACGGGGCCTTCGGCCTCGGGCCCCACACGGGCCCGCGGCGGGGGCCGCGGCGCCGCCTCTCGGCGCCCTCCGCGGATCGGCGGCCCCGCGGGCGGTGTCAAGCAGGCGATCGGGCGGTCGCGGCGGCCGTGGCGTCGACAGGCCGTCGGCCGCGCGGCCCTCGCGGCGAGCGCGGCGACCGGCAGTGGGGATCGAAGACCGAGGATCTCGAGGAGTGCGGCACGCGGTCGGCAGCTCGGGGGGGCCGCGGAGGCCTCTGGGGGCCTCCCTGGGACCTCCGGGGGGGACCCGCGGAGACCCCCAGAGGTCACGTGCAGGGTCTCGTGGATGACCGCGCCTGGCGCTTCGCGATCATGGCCAGGCCTGCCCGTCTCCAGGTTGGCCGCGCGAGGGCACAGAGGTCTATCGCGCTTCGCGGAGCGTGGAGTTGGTTGACTCTCCGCGATCATGGCCAGATCTGCCCGTCTCCAGGCTGGCCGCGCGAGGGCACGAAGGTCTATCGCGCTTCGCGGAGCGTGAAGTTCGTTGACTGGGGCTCGTGGTCCTCGTGGCGAGCGGGGTGATCGGGGGCGCGATCGGAGGCGGTGCAATTATATAGCGCGCCCCGAGATCCGACGCTGTGGAAAGGTCGCGACGCCACGAATGTTCACGACTGGGGCCCTCGGCCCCATCTCCGTGCCAGATCTCTCGGGCTGGGTAAGTCCGCGTGGGCTTCCCGCGGAGCCGAAGGTGGGTCGGCCGGCCTCAGCGGAGACACTCACAGAGGTCTTAGGAGAACTTTGGAAGTCTCAAGTCGGGCGGGACTAGGACGAGGAGAAATCCGTTCCAGAGCGTTCCCGAACGCTCTGAGAAGGCCGCGGCGCCCGAGCCGTCCTCCAGAGCCGCTGGATCTCAGAGATTCTCGATCTATCCTCACCCGATGTTATCATCGTCCTGGCTTCGTCTCATCAAGAGGCCTCGCGGGTCCGTCTCTGTAGGTGTGCGGGCGCTCGTGGCGGTCCTCGTCGCCGCAGCCCGGTGCGGCTCGGCAGACTGGCCAGGATGGGCCTCAGGAGGGGCCCGACTGCGGCTCGATCTTGAGAGGCCTCCGGAGGCCTCTGGAGGTCGGAGGCCTCCAGACGGTAGGGTTCAATCGGGCTTGCCCCTCTACAGGAGGAATGATCAAAAATAGTCAAAAATACATCGCCGTGACGAAAGTTTCTTTCAATCTGCCTTTTGGAATGACGCGCTCGTGCGGAGTAGTTTGGAGTAGTTTCACTAAAACTACTCCGCGCGCAATCGCATCGCGCTCGATAATTTATTTGGTTTGGCGCGGAGTAGTTTCCGGTCCCGTTTTGGGGTACCAGAGTTATTAACGTCTCCAGGATCGGAAACTACTCCGCCGAATGACCCAGCATCATGTCATGTTAGGAATCTTGGGAGGGATGGGAGAGATCTTCATCATAGCAAATTGAAGAAACGTTTGTCACGGCTGTGTAGTCTGGGGACAATTTGTTGACTATGTTTGCCCATTTTGGGGCATGGTTTGACTATTTCCCCAAATCCTGAGTGGGGCTTTGCTTTCCAAGAACACCCTCTCCTTCTCATTCTCCTTCTCCTTCTCACATGCCATCGCAAAACCGTAGATACCATACCATACCATACCATACCATACCATACAATACCATAATACATCATGCAACACCAAATCATATGATTTCGTACCCCTCCCACCCCTCCAGGGAAGCCCCGCCTGAGGAGGACAACGTTCAACGAGGTGGTTCTGGCAGACCTGTTTAAGGTCAGCGATCATAGTGGCGAGGGCTGGTGGTTTATGTTGGCACAGGACGCGGCAACGGGATGCTGCGCGATCGGGCTTGCACAGACGCATAGCAGCGAAGCGCTGCGGGGGCGATATGAAAGGCCACGTTTGTCGCGGGCTGGCCCGCCCGACCAGTTCGCGTCAGACAACGAGCGGGGGCTTGTGAACGGCAGTTTCGCGGACGCCCTTTCAGCGGCGCGCGCGCCTTGGCAAAAGAGCAAGATGAAGTGCAAGATCCAGGCGGCCAAGAGCGCGATGAAGAAGAGCATCCGACACGGAGCCTACAGCGGCCTGGACGAAATTAAAACCCTCGCCTGGGAGACGGCTTCTGCTTTCAATTACTTCCCGCAGTGTGGCTACACCTCGTCTCTATTGCTGCTCGGACGGAAGATGAAGCTGGTGGGCGAGTGCTGGCACGAGGGCAAGGCGGCGAGCTATCACCCCTGCGTCGCCGAAGAAGGTGGCCCACTGACCAGACGGCTCAAGATCCGCGAACACTGTCAACGATCCCTCATCAAGACACGGAGCCAGGAGCTGGCCCAGAGAGCAGTTGCCGCGCGAAGCCGCGGCAACCTCAAGGACTGGAGTGAAGGGGAACTTGTGTTTTTCTTCCAGCCCTTCCGCACTGAAAAGGGCCGTCGGGCGAACGAGCCCGAGCGGTGCGGTCCCGCGACGTTGTTCGGCCGAGAGAACGACGACGCGTGGGCGCAGTGCGGTGAGAGGCCGTTTCTGGTTGCCCCCGAACACCTAAGACCGCTCAGTCCCGAACATGAGCACCTGGCAGAGGATGGGGAGCTGCGCCGGTTGCTCGACGAGATACGCCAGGCGATGGGTCGTGAGGAATTTGAGGACCTCACGGGCCTGAGCCCAGAGCCGGAGGACCTCGATGCGGCCGGAGGCCTGGTGCCGCGTGAAGGATCCGACGACGGGCCCCCGCCCTCGGCGAGGGAGGGCGACCCAGTAGCAGAAGTGATCGAGGACGCCGAGGTCGCGGATGATGTCGCCGCGAATCCTGGGGCTGCCCAAGGAAGCCGCCTGCCCTCGGGCCTCCCTCTGGAGCTGGTGCGGCACGCGAATGCCCCAGGCTGGGCACTGACCGAACAGAACAGCCTGTCTGGAGCCTTTATGGTGCCTGGGCCCGGGTGACACCAGAGGGGCGGCACCCCGTGGCGCAATGGCCGCTGCGTACCACCTATGAAAAGCACGGAGGGACACGGCGCTGCACCGAGCATCGAGTTCGGGGGGCTCAGATGTTGAATCCCAGGGAAGTGATCCGGCCCCCCGCGGATTGAATGCTTGTGCTGTTCGAGGACGAAGAGGAACGAAGGCGCGAAGCGACACTTGCCGCTTGCCACGGTAGAGATGCCCGCGACGGCGCGGCGAATAGACGGGTCCGAGCAGTCCGGCCCTCGAGCCGCGCACGAAGGGATGTCGGCGTACAACAGGGGGGCGGGGTCCGCCATTTTAGATCGCAAAACGCAGGACCGTGAGCTGAAGTGGGAAGAAATCGCGCCAGCACACCACAAAGACTTTCGCGCCGCGATAGTGAAGGAATGGGATTCTGGGAGCGGTGAAGACCGATGCTCCCGCCGCACAACGATCCGGCTTCTGCGCTTTCCTTCAGCTGTCCGCGAACCTCGGCCGGCTTCCCCAGCTAGCGATCGGTGACATCTCGAGCGCTTTCCTACAGGCAGAGCCACGCCGGGGTCAGGAGCGCTGTACATGTGACAGCCAGTGGGTGGTCTTCCCGGGCTGGAGCCAGGCCAGATGCTCAAGATCGAAAAGAGGATGCACGGGCTACCCGACGCTCCACGAGCATGATTCAACACCTTCCGCAAGTCCCTGGTCGAAGAAATGGGCTGGGGGCAGTTGCAGCTGGACGTGGCGTTTTTTTTCCTGCTTTTACCAGGGCGACCGTCTCACGGGCATGCTGATCTTTCATGTTGATGATTGTATGATTGCACGCGATGGCTGCGCGATGATGCGCAGCATGGAGGGCAAGCTCAAGGAGAGGTTCCCGTTTGGGTCCTGGACGGTGGAGTCAGCATGCCGGAGTTTATCGACGGGCGCGCGGACGAGGTCAACTGTGGGCGGACGGAGGAGGGGGAGACGCCGCTTCCCCCGATCGGTAGGACGGAGTTTCAGTCGGCGGTGGGCTCCCTGCACTGACTAGCCGGACAGTACTGGCTGGACAAGGCCTTCTAGACGAACCGATCCCAGAAGCTCCAGGAAGAACCGACCCATGCGGACGCGCGGGAGCTTAACAAATGCATCCAGGACGTCAAGGCCAGTCGCGACGTCTGCCTGCGAATCGTGCCGATCAAGGGCCGTATGAGAGTGGGCTGCTGGCATGATTCTTCTCTCCACGGCAACGTCGGCGCGCTGCTGGAGACGGACGAGGACCTGAAGAGGTTCGATCGTCACACGGTCCCGTCGCAGATTGGAGTAGTAGTCGCAGCAGTTGACCTGGACTGCGTAGAACAGGAGGAACTGCTGATATCCATCTTGGACTGGCGCGACCGGGCGAGCCACCGCGTGGTTGCGTCGACGTTCTCCGCCGAGACGGCGGCGTGCCTGGCGGGCCACGGCATGGCCCACTACGCGCGGGCGCTCCTGTCCGAGGCCCTGCACGGATGGAGCAACCAGTCGGTGGTGGATCACGGCGAGGCACATGCCGCCCGCGCTGTTTACCGACTGTCGGAGCTTGCGCGACCATGTGAAGATCGAGGGCAACATCCCCGACGACCGGCACGGCGCGGCGTGGCTCGCCGCCCTGAAGTCACACGCGTCATGCGCCCCACAGAGAGATGACAACAAAGGGGGGAAGGTGGTCGCCTAGCCGGCAGATGATACCAGACGGGTTAACAAAAGGTGGTCTTAGTGACAAGGTCCAGGTGTTGATGGAAACGAGTCGAACGCGAGCGCGCAGGATGAGCGCTCAGGCCATCAAGCGAGGCGCGGCGGCAGGCGACGGGGAATCGCCCGCCCCCCGCCCCACCTCGTCCTGTCTCGCTCCTGCGACAAGCCGCGTCACGCATCCGCTGCCCGCGTGCCCCCTGCCAACCGTTCCTGCGCCATGGCCGGCCATGCCGACGTGGAGGCGGCGCCCCCGTCGGGCGGCGACGGCGAGTGACGGGGCCGCAGTCGGGCGCGACCCCGCGCGGAGCGCGGCGTCGCCAAGGAGGGGCCGGCCCCGCTGCCCAAGGCGATGCAGGCGCCGCGCGGCGCGGCCCCAGCTCCCAGGGAGCGCAAAGAGAAGAAAGAGCGCAAGGAGGGCAGGGGCCCGGGGCGCGAGCTCCACGGGGGCTGCGCCCGCGTGCTGGGCGCGCCGGGAGGGCGGCGGCGATCCCCCGGCGGGGGGAAATGCGGCGCGCGAGGAGCAGGCCTTGGAAGTGGGCGACCAGCGGCTCACGTTCGACAGCAAAGCGGTGCAGGAGTTGAGCGACAGCCAGTGGTTGCTCTGGCTCGGGAACTTCTACCGGGCGGCGTGATTGGGTTGGTCCGCCCGTCGCCACATGGCCCGGAGGACTTGGCACGACAAGGTCCGCGACAGCAAAAAGTTCTCGATGCGGAATCTCGCACTCGCCCTGCAGGATGAGTTTCCTGCAGCTACCGCCCACTGGATGATAGCCCTCGGCTGGCAGGCCGCCCACCGCTCCGACCGCGCGGGGCGCCCGCGCAAGGGGCGGGCCCGCCGGGAGAAGGCGATGGCGCGAGCACCGGGGGCGATCGCGCATCGCTACCGGGCCGGGTCGAGCAGCGGAGGAGCGTCGGCCTCGCCAGAGGGCCGCAGTGACGACGCGGAGGAAGAAGGGAAAGAAGCTGCCCCGACGCGGCGCGAGGTGCCAACCCCCCACAGGCTGGCCTCCGACACGGCCGTTGCAGGCGGGGGGGGCGCGGGCGTGAGCCGCGCCGCCGCGGGCCCGAACGCGAGGAGCAAGCGGGGCGCCAAGGGCAAGGGGCCCAGGGGCAGGGGCAAGCGGGGTGGCGCGGTCAGCGAGAGACCCAAGAAGCCGCGCAGCGGCGGCGCCTCCACGTCCGCAGCGGGCCAGTCTGCTCTGGGGAGCATCCCCGTCGGAGCTGCCGGGGCGCAACGCGTGCCGCCAGTGCTTCCAGGAGGGGCACTGGGGCAATCAGTGCCTTCGTTCCTTTGCCGATGGCACCCCGAGGGACGAGCGCTGAGGCAGCCCAGGGGCGAGCGGCGCCGCCAGTGGCGGCGGCCAGCGGCATGGAGAAGGGGTGGCGCTCCCCCGGCCGGACGCGAGCGGCGCGCTCGACGTCGCGCATGCTGCTTTCTATTAACCCCATCCTCCTGTGGAGGGCATGGTGGAGCGGAGTCTCCGCCGAATACTTTTATCCCCCGGTGGCTGGCAGTGCGGGGCGACTCCCGCAGACGTCTGAGCCCCGGCCCTCGTCGTCCTCCTGCGGAGGATTTTCGGGGCAAAGACCCCGCGACGCGCCCATCCGTGTTTCGCTACCGCCTACGGAGGAGGTCGGTTTCCTTTTACCTTTGGTACCTCTAGTGGGGGACCTTTTTTTCCCTTGGGACGGAGCGCAGCGATCTTATCTACAGATCACATGTGCCTCCAAAGGAGGCCCGTGCTTTTTCTCTGTGCGCGCCCGCCCACCGCGCGGGCGGGCGGAGTACTGCAAGGATGAGCAGGGCAAGACAGAAGAGTAGCAGTGTTGAAAGTCACTGCTGCCACATCCGCCTACCTCCCGTCCCGACGCCGCTTACTGCTACAAGCCCTCCCGACGCTAGGGCGGAGGGAGGGCTTTGCCTCTTTTGACCTGCCTGCAGCGAGGCAGAACCGCTTGTGGTGAAAAGCACATCACATCGACAGCAACAACAGAAGTACCTACTTGCGGTAGGTTCATGCGACGTTGGCCTTCTGGCGACGCTGGCGATGATTTTCAGTGTCGAATTCTAAGACGCGGAAGCATCAATGGACGCGGGGCCCGACTGAGTCTGCCTGGAACGCTCGGGGCCGCGATCAATGCAGGGTGGAACGATCGACGCGGTGTCATAAAACAACCTTTTGGCGCGCGCCGACGCCGCGCGAGCCTACCGCACCGGCCCCTTGATGTGAGGGAACCTCCTCGTGGCCGGGGCTCGCCGGGGCCAGCAGAGCCGCCCCTCGGTCCTTGTTCGACCCTCCTCGTGGTACAGTGAAAGTCCATAGTAAGAACGGGTCACCTTCCCAAAGGCACCCTTGCGTCCTTAGATTTGTCCGGCAGTGCGCTGCAAGAAGAGCTTCAACTGGGGCGTCGCAGGACCGTCCTAGGGCCCTGCGTCCTTACAGCGCGTCCTTACTGCAGATTTTGATTGTAGCGCGATGCCTGTAGAGAGTGCCGCCGTCGAGGGCGCGCCGAGGTCGCCGTCGAGCCCCCTGCTGGAGAGGCACGCGCGCCTGCGCCGCGCCGGGGACCCGCGCGGGCCGCCCGGGTCGCCGCCCGCAGGCGCGCTCGGCCGGGCGGCCGCGGCGGCGTGGCAGCGGGGGGGGGCCCAGGCCCCGGGACCACGAGCCTCGAGAGGGGGTCCTAGATCTGCGAGGGCACGGCTCGGGCCGCGGGGGAAAGGGTTTTGGACATGGGCAGGGACAGGGGGACAGGGAGAGGGGTGGGGGCCACGAAGTCTGCTGCGTGCAGTCGGTTTCCGCCCCGCCGCCGGGCCCATTCCTCGATACGTGGGCGCCTCCCGACGCCAGGGCGCCAGGAAAACCAGCTGCACAGGTTGATTCTTTACCGGCCCTGCCCGCTTCTATGCTACGTACCCTTTTTCGTGCCCTCCGAGTGGTGCTTCCAGGAGGAGGAGGAGGAGGAGGAGGAGGAGGAGGAGGAGGAGGAGGAGGAGGAGGAGGAGGAGGAGGAGGAGGAGGAGGAGGAGGAGGGGGAGGAGGCGAGGACGATGACGAGGAGGAGGAGGAGGAGGAGGAGGAGGAGGAGGAGGAGGAGGAGGAGGAGGAGGAGGAGGAAGGTGGAGGAGGGTGGAGGAGGGTGAAGGAGGGTGGAGGAGGGTGGAGGAGGGTGGAGGAGGGTGGAGGAGGGTGGAGGAGGGTGGAGGAGGAGGGAGGGTGATCAGGCGCCAGGAGAATCAGCTACACGAGCTGATTCTCTGTCCTCCGAGTGGTGCTCGTTCGGTCCGGCGTGCTGCCTCGCGCTCGGCCTCTGGGGCCCGCCGTCGGTCCCCGAGGGGCCATCGGCAATGGAGCCTGGGCCCGGTGGTTCAGAGGTGGGGTCCTGAGGGATGGGGGCCCGAGGAAAGGGAAGGGGTCCAAGGTTTAACGTGCGTTGTTCTAGGCACCTCGTCCTTGAGACCCCATCCCTCAAGACCCCAGCCTTGAGCCACCGACGGACGCAGGCAAGCCCACCTCCGGGGCGGGAGCTCTGGGGCCTCAGAGGGAGAGGAAAAGCAGGTCCGAGGGTGTCGGGGAGATTCGAGGATGTGCGAGGTCCCAGGAGGTGCGAGGTCCGAGGGGGGAGCCCAGGAAGTCCTCGAATCATTCTTGGTGTTCGGGGAGAATCGAGGATGCCCAAGGTTCCCGGAGGTTCGAGGTCCGAGGTGGGCCCAGAGATCCTCGAGCCTCGTGGTGTTCGAGGAGGTTCGAGGCTCGGGCAGACTTTTTCATCGCTTGGGGCCCTGTCTGTCGAAGCTCCAGGGAGTTCTGGGGACCTGTTGGGGGCCGAGTGCGCAGCAATGGAAGAGGAGGAGCCGATGATCGAGGTTCGAAGATCGAGGGTTTCGATCGTCTTCGGGGCCCTCAGCGACGCCCTCGTCGCCACGGCCGATGGGGCTCGAAAGTTCTGTCGGAACGAGCCCCTTGACAGGTCCACGAGCCGATTTACCCTAAGCAGCTCATTTGTGAGGGTCCTAAAGGATGCTTTTGATGACGGTGGGTAGTCTGCGCGATCCAAAAGCTCAGGAGGGGAGAAAACACAGACACAATTAATCGTCGATTCACAGGACAATGTGGGAAGATGTAGGAAACATATTTGGATTTGTGTGTATTTGTTTGTGTGTGTCCCTGGGTCCCTTCAGAAGCGGTGGTTCGTGGTCTCTGCTCGTGGCTCCTCGTTGTCTCTGGTCGTGGCTCGCGGGGTCTCCGGTCATGGCTCGTGCTCTCCGATCTCCCGCATGGTCTCACGCACGGCATATGAAGAGGGGCCAGTGCCGCCGATCTGGGGCGCTCGGGATGATGATGCTGCGGGTGATGATGATGATGAGGAGGATGAGGAGGATGAGGAGGATGAGGAGGATGAGGAGGATGAGGATGAGGATGAGGATGAGGATGAGGATGAGGATGAGGACGAGGACGAGGATGAGGATGAGGATGAGGATGAGGATGAGGATGAGGATGAGGATGAGGATGAGGATGATGATGATGATGATGATGATGATGATGATGATGATGATGATGATGATGATGATGATGATGATGATGATGATGGTGATGGTGATGGTAATGATGATGATGGTCGGGGCTCGCGGTCTCTGGTCGTGGTTCGTGGTAGCTGGTCGTGGCTCGCGGCCTCTGGTCTCCCGCACGGTCTCCCGCATAGCATGTGCATACTTACACCGTTTAGGATAGGTTAGCACGATGCCGTATAGTGTTGAGTCGGGCGTGTCCCTCTATAGGAGGAATTTAACAAAACATGTCTGGGGACGATTTCGGGGGTATTTTGGATTTTTTGGGGCATCTTTGGGGTATTTTTATTTTTTCGCCCAAAATCCGCCTTTAGGGAGACATGCCCGACCTAAGCACAGTGTCGATGCGTATAGCGCTATGCGCAACTGAAACTTGTAGCATCTGGTTGTGCGTATGTATGTGGTAGTGCAGCGTAGTGCACAATAGCTTGGTGAAGTATAGGCACAGCTTCGCAGTATGATAGTTTGGGCATGTAGCGCCGTGATTAGTAGCACTTGTTTGCCAGCATGGACCACAAACAGTGTGATGTTGTACTGTGGATCTGTAAGCCGCGTGGTGTGATATATGTGGTGTGAGTTGTGAGGTGCAAGCTTTGTGGCATGATGTATGTATGAATGTATGTATGTACGTAGGTAGGTAGGTAGGTATGTGTGTGGTGCAATAGATACGTTGTGAACTATGCGGTGTAAGTTGTGTGGTGCGATGTATGTGGTACGAGCTGTGTGGTATAAACTATGTGGTGCAAGTATCTCACCCTCCCACCCGCAACTCGTGTTGCAAAACCCATGCGGCAGTGATTGCGGTGACTGCGTGGCACTGGTTGGCGCGTCTCTGCGGCTGCGCTGGCCCGCGCAAGCTCGCTTACAGGGCAGCCATTTGGTTTAGCACAGCCGACGCGGCCTCGATGGCGCTTACCGATTGGAACTACCCAGCGCGTCTCAAAGGGCGCGCTGGCGCACGGGCACTCAGCGCGGGCATTCAGCGTGGGTCTGCGATTCGGGCGGGCATCATTAGGATGTCGACAACGGTGGCAACGATAGAATGTTAGCAGCGATGACGGTGGCGACGATGACGAGGACGACGGCAAAGCCAAGGATGGCAACGATTCTGGTGACAGAGAGCGCCCAGCGACTCTCTCGCTTCTCCTGCGCCAGGCGAACGCGCGGGCCGCGCTCCGCAGGCTTCAGACACGGCACAGGGCGCTGGCAGCACGGCTGTCTGCGGCAGCGGCGGCACGCGCTGCCGACGCCGCGCATGTCGCCGACGTGCCGCGGGCACGCTGGCCCCGAGCGCCCGCGCAGCGTCACAGCGCCGCCGCAGTCGTGGGAGGTCAGGGGACGGGCTCCGACCAGGATGGCGCCACAGGGCCCCTGGTCCTGCCGAGCGGCCTCGCGGCTCCACGCGGGACAGTACTCTCTGCCTCCACCGCCCCTTCTGCCGCCCCCCCACCCCGCCCCCCCCTCGCCGACGAGTCCGACCGACGCTGGCGACGGCCCCCGCTCTTCCAACGTGCATTTGCTTGCTTGCTTACTGCTTTCCACGCCACCCCTGTCCGTGTCCGCTCACTATTTGTTCCCTCCTCCCCGTCACACTTGGCAGGCTCTGTCCTGGCTGGGTCCGCCAGGTCTCCTCGACTGGCGGGACAGTTCGCAGCACACCCGCATTTCGTGGTTCGGCCGCGCTGCAGCAGGTTGTCGAGCCAGGCCGTTCCTGGACAGCCCGAGAGGACCAGCTTCTCATCTCGAGCCGTTCTGTTCACGGCCCAGGTCATGGTTCAGGTGTCCCCGGGGCAGGCGATTCCGCTGCATGCACTTCACGGCGCGAGGGTGCCTGGGCTCGGGGGTCGAAGCACGGCGTCGGAATTTCTCCCAGAGCGTGCTTTGGTCAGGATTTCTACGGAGATCCAGCCGTGGCGACGGTGATCTTCCCAGTGGCACCCGGCACTACAAGAAAGAAAGCGCACACATTACCTAACAGAGAGCATCATGACTCCCCAGGGGGGTCTGGGCGGCATCCGGACAGGGATCCGCGGAAGTCGTTTTAAGCCAACAGTTATACACTTCGTGGTTTTCGAGGTCCCAGAACTCCATTCCCGGGCCACATTCTGAATGCCCAGAGCCAACCGTAGGCCACTTCGTGTTCTTCGAGTTCCCAGAACTCCATTCCTGGGCATGATTTTGAATGCCCGGAGCCAACTGTAGGCCACTTCGTGGTCTTCGAGTTCCCAGAACTCCTTTCCTGGGCATGATTTTGAATGCCCGGAGCCAACTGTAGGCCACTTCGTGTTCTTCGAGTTCCCAGAACTCCATTCCTGGGCATGATTTTGAATGCCCGGAGCCAACTGTAGGCCACTTCGTGTTCTTCGAGTTCCCAGAACTCCATTCCCGGGCCACACTTTGAATGCTGAGGCAGGCTGATTGCTGCAGGCAGGCTGAGGCTGAAGGCAGGCTGAGGCAGGCTGAGGCTGAGGCCGAGGCTGAAGGCAGACTGAGGCTGAGGCTGAGGCAGAGGCAGGCTGAGGCTGAGGCAGGCTGAGGCAGGCTGAGGCTGAGGCTGAGGCTGATGCAGGCTGAGGCTGAGGCAGGCTGAGGCTGAGGCCGAGGCTGAAGGCAGACTGAGGCTGAGGCTGAAGCAGGCTGAGGCTGAGGCAGAGGCAGGCTGAGGCTGAGGCTGAGGCAGGCTGAGGCTGAGGCAGGCTGAGGCTGAGGCTGAGGCTGAGGCAGGCTGAGGCTGAGGCAGGCTGAGGCTGAGGCCGAGGCTGAAGGCAGACTGAGGCTGAGGCTGAAGCAGACTGAGGCTGAGGCTGAGGCAGGCTGAGGCTGAGGCTGAAGCAGGCTGATGCTGAGGCATGCTGAGGCTGAGGCTGAGGCTGATGCAGGCTGAGGCTGAGGCAGGCTGAGGCTGAGGCCGAGGCTGAAGGCAGACTGAGGCTGAGGCTGAAGCAGGCTGAGGCTGAGGCAGAGGCAGGCTGAGTCTGAGGCAGGCTGATGCTGAGGCAGGCTGAGGCTGAGGCTGAGGCTGATGCAGGCTGAGGCTGAGGCAGGCTGAGGCTGAGGCCGAGGCTGAAGGCAGACTGAGGCTGAGGATGAAGCAGGCTGAGGCTGAGGCTGAGGCAGGCTGAGGCTGAGGCTGAGGCAGGCTGATGCTGAGGCAGGCTGAGGCTGAGGCTGAGGCTGATGCAGGCTGAGGCTGAGGCAGGCTGAGGCTGAGGCAGGCGGAGGCTGAGGCCGAGGCTGAAGGCAGACTGAGGCTGAGGCTGAAGCAAGCTGAGGCTGAGGCTGAGGCAGGCTGAGGCTGAGGCTGAGGCAGGCTGATGCTGAGGCAGGCTGAGGCTGAGGCTGAGGCTGATGCAGGCTGAGGCTGAGGCAGGCTGAGGCTGAGGCCGAGGCCGACGGCAGACTGAGGCTGAGGCTGAAGCAGGCTGTGGCTGAGGCAGAGGCAGGCTGAGGCTGAGGCTGAGGCTGAGGCAGGCTGATGCTGAGGCAGGCTGAGGCTGATGCTGAGGCTGAGGCTGAGGCTGAGGCAGGCTGAGGCTGAGGCTAAGGCAGTCTGAGGCTGAGGCAGGCTGAGCTGAGGCTGAGGCTGAGGCTGAGGCAGGCTGAGGCTGAGGCAGGCTGAGGCTGAGGCCGAGGCTGAAGGCAGACTGAGGCTGAGGCTGAAGCAGGCTGAGGCTGAAGGCTGAGGCAGGCTGAGGCTGAGGCTAAGGCAGGCTGAGGCTGAGGCAGGCTGAGCTGAGGCTGAGGCTGAGGCTGAGGCAGGCTGAGGCTGAGGCAGGCTGAGGCTGAGGCCGAGG